AAGTTCTGGGCAACTGGCCCTTACAATTTGGGGGGAACCTCAAGGAATGCTGACCCTTGCCCTTGCTTCCAGATGCACCTTTCCTCTGGAACCCTGTCAGTCAGTTCTCACTTCAGTGGTCATGTATATAGCAGGTGGAAACAGCCAACCAGCATGAGACCTGGAATCATGTCCTTTTCAAAGCTTTCCCCAGAGTCTCGACCTTGATGTTGTGTACTTGTCAGTCTCATGATTAATGATGATAATCTCTTTTTATCTAGCACTGATGAAGCTTGCTAAGCTTTGCACTGCAACAGAGGCAGCTTTTTGTATGTGATACTGGGGTTGGCACACCTGTATGATTAGGGTCTCCTTCCTCTGCCAGGGCAGGAAGCCAGGTACCCAGGGCAAGTACCCCATGGGAGATAACTAGTATAGCGTGATGTTTGAGTGCAGCCCTTGGAGTCAGACTGCCCGGGTTTGAATCCTGGTTTTACTCCTTCCTACCTGTGTGCCCTTGAATAAGTTGCTTATTCTCTCTGTGCCTTAGTTTGCTTATTTATAAAATGGGGATACTGATACTATCTTCCCCTAGAGCGATGTGAGAATTAAATGAGTAAATATAGGAAAACACTTAGAAGAGTGTTTATAGAGCTAAAGCGTATTATTATTATTATTTTTTTTTTTTGCTGGTGACTTTTCATTGCACATAAATTGAATTATACTGTAAATGGCTGTGCTGGGAGCTCACTATGTATAAGAGCCCTATGAAGAATTAGGTTTTCAGTAAAGAATGTTTTCTCCTCTTGCTTGACAATATCATAGCCCAGATTTGGGAGCACTAAAGAGAGGTGCATTTGTGTTATTGGGACATTTGATCCAAAAGAGTACAGAGAGTAGGTGGCGACATGGGCTGCACAGTGCCCGGCGTCAGCTGTATTCTCCACAGAAACCTGCCTCGTGCCATTCAAACTCTTCTGCAGTTTTTCTGCGTTGAGGGCTCTCGATAGTCAAAGAGGCAGTAATCCCAGGTCTCCTTTCTATCCTCTAGACTCTAATTCCTGCTCTGCGCTCTGATTTCTCCTCTCCAAGCTCCACCCTCTTCTCCCCAACTGGGAGCATCTGGGGGGTGGAGGGAGAGGTTGTCCTGACTCCACCATCATTCATTTACCCCCTTCTCTTCTTCCCTCATGGGTTGGACTGGGAGACTCCTGCAGCCATAGTCAAAGGAGAAATACAGTCATGAAAATACACGTTTGTTTATTTACTTCTCTCCATTGCTTTCCTGTGTGTTGGAGCATGCTCCCCTGGCTGCTTAGTGCTCACACCCAGCAGTTGCTTTATTAATAGCTCAGCCGTTATCCCCTTGCTGCCAATTACACCTGTGTTGGCTGGCTTCACCCTGGGAAGTGCCTGAGCTGGAGGACTGGAGAAGGACTTCAGGGAGCCAAAACCTCCAAAGGAGCATTACTGGAACTTCAGCTGCTCCAGGGATGGGGGTGATGGGCGGTTGCTGGCCGAGGTGCCTGTAAGGTGCTCAGATGACTGGTTTCAGGGCATCTTAAAGGCACCTCAGGAATTAGGCAGGTGGGGACAGCAGTGAGTGTGTATATGCTTTTCTTTGTTTCTTTTCTTCTTTGAGATTTTGAGTAGGTCTGAAACAGACAAGTTCCCATGTGTACCTTTCCCCAGTGACAAAAGCAGTATGTGTTCATGAAAAATTCAAACAAAACAGAGAGAAAGTGAAAAGTAAAAAAATCTCTCACAATTTCTCCTGTTCCTGTTAAGTTTGATTCTTCCCGACATCTTCTGGTGTATTCTGTTAATGAAAACAGGTTCATACTGTATTCTGTTCTGCTATTTTCCTTTTTTTTTTTTTTAACTTACTATATTGTGGAGGGGTTTGTGTGTGTGTGTCTGTAAATCCAGATTTACCTCTTTCTGCATAGTATTGCATTCTAGGGATATGCCAGCCTCCCCCTGGTGGACATTTGCCCTGTTTTTGGTTTTCCACCATCACAAACAATGCTGCAGGAGCATCCTTGCCCATATACCTTAGCATGTGTGTGCTAGCAATTTTTCCTACAGAAGTAATAGGAGGAAAGACACATTTGAAATGTTGATCAGCATTACTAATTTATTCTCCTAAATAGTTCTGTATTGCTAGCTATTTTTAATATTTCAAAGGGCATGGGTGGAAGTTCTATATTATTAGCTATTTTTAATATTTCAAAGGGCTGCGCTGATTCATTAAAACGTTAACTTTCTCAGTGTTTAGCCGCAGAACTTGGATATCTCATGCCTATCAAACAGCAGGAGATAATTAGCAGTTTTATGACTTCTCAAGAATGAAAAAAATAACAAATGAAACACATTTTAATAGGTTGCATATTTTAAAAATATTGGGCCTATTTAGAACAAATAGTGGAAGAAAGCCTTGTTCATGAAAAGGCTGGGAACCACTGACCTACTAGACTACCTTTCAGGATTAAATTAGAAAATTTAGTCATGCTTACCACATGGCTCCCTTGACCAGGTGCTGACAGCAGCTGGTGGCTGGGACTGATGGGGCAGTCATGAAACCAGGAGTCCGGTCAAAGCCCTGACCTTGACTTTCTACTGTGGAATTGCGGGCCAAGCTTTTTACTTCCCTGGGTTTGAGTGTTTCTGTTTGTAGTAGGGAAGTTATCAAACCTTCAATTCCTGTAAGTATGTTCATGAGGGAGAATAAGTTTAAAATGGAGAAAGTGAGTTAAACCTTGTTTAAAGAAGGTAGGAGAGAATTTCAGGATTAAAACAGCTTTCCATTATAAGCCAAGGGGTATGCTACATTGTCTCTGAAATTAACCAGCTTGAACTATCTACTATTCAAATTAAGGTGCTAGTGGTTTTGTTTTGTAACAGGCAGGACAGAATGTTCCTAATTATGTCAACGTGGCAGTTTGAAATAGGAAGTGTGTTTTAGTTTTGTATTCTGGCAAATGAGAAGCCCAGAGGTGGGAGGTGTGGAGCCTTGAACCCTTAGAGATCCCTGTTTTTTGTTGTTGTTGTTGTTGTTGTTGTTGTTTTGCTCTTAGTGTTCTCTGCCAGGTTAGGTAAACAAGTAGCAGCTGGTCCCCTGTTCAACTTTAGAGCAGCTCCCAAGCTTCAGTTCATATTTAGCTTTAGGGAGGGGAAGTGCCTAATGGGCTGGAAGTTGTGGACAAAGCAGGCCCAGAAGTGCAAGTAATGAGACAAATCATGGGGGATTGAGCAGAGCATGGTGGTGAGCTGGAGAAAGTGAAGACTCAGGAGGATTTTACTACTGAGAAGCGAGGCAGTTGTACCCAGGCCGACCTGTCAGGAGTCAGAGATCAGGGATTCACATCAGCTGAGGCTGCAGGGTGGCATTTGCCTGCCTGTGTGCTCCCTATTTGGACACAGATGAAAATCCCTTCCGTTGCTCCTTGCCGGCTTTGGAGGAGTCCCTGCCCAGGCCCAGGAATTGTCCATGTGCACAGTGGGTAAAGGACTAAAGGTCAAGTCCTCTGACCCTGAGTCTGGGCATCCACTCCCCCCTCGCCACTTGGGGCCACTCTGGTTTCTGGGTACTTCTTACCCAACACCCCTAGGAAACTCTCTTCCTTCTGAGGTCTGTCCTCTACCCAGGCCCTTCTGCCCACTTCTCCAGTGAAAGCTGTTGCGAATGACTTTACTGTGCAACCGCCTAAGTTTTACCCAGTTGTTTCTCAGCCTTACAGTCCACCCTGTCCCAGCACAGAGAAGCAGCAGTACCCGGCAGGGCACCTTCCAGAAGGCAGTGCCAGGAAGTGGAAAGCAAGACGATTCTTTCCCTTTCTCATCCCTGGGTGGGGCCTCCCCTCACAAGAGTCCGGAGTCGTCCTGCCGGACCTCGGTTGGTCCGGGCCCCAGGGAAGGGGCGGGCAGCAGTGGAGGCCCCTCTCCCACCACTCGTCTGTGGCAGGATGGGCAGGGAGGAGCCCAGCCCTGTGAGCAGGCTGCGGAGGAAGCACAAGCTCTGGATTCTAGTGCTAGCTCTTCCATGACCCATCCTGCATCCTTAGGCGAGTCACCTGACCTTTGACCATCTAGTTTTCCCCACCTGTCCACTGAGCCCTATCTCTGTACATGAGGATTCCTGAACTAAGTTTCCTCAGGAACGATAGACCAGTGACTGTTCTTGCTTCTGGATTTCTTGCTTTTACGCAGCTGTTGAGGCCAGCTGGCCACGCTGCCCTTGCAGGCTAGCTTTACCATGAAGCTTCCTGAGGAGTCTTGTCAGAACTTGCGTCAAGTAGGCTTTGCCACAGTCTAAATCTCACTGTGGTTTAGAAATTCGGGCTTAAGCTTGTGTCCTGAGCACAAAAGCCAAAACAGTTTGAGACCAGGTCTTTTTACAGTGGGCAGGCTAGTTCTTGCTCATGGCTTTGAAGGGATAGATGGGGGATCCTCAGAATAGAAACTCTGTTGGACTTTTTGTAGGAGCCAGGCCGGCTCATCCCTGGGGAATCTCCAGGCACAGGCGTGCCTCCACAGCTGTATCATTCTTGTGTTATTAGACATTCTTTTGTTAAGGAAGGTGCCATGGTTCTCATCTTTCTAATCCTTGCCACTTTTGTCTCCCTTTCCGTCTAAGGTACCTCTGTGGAGACTTTGCCCATGTGGGGAAGACGTGTCTTGACTTGGGTACTTCTTGGAAATTTACATGACCTTTTAGTGCTTTTTCAGGAGCTTGGCCTGATAGCACCTCTATTTGCCATCCCAGTCTTCCCCTGGCTTGGCGGAGGTGTGTAAAAATTAAATGAGGTTATGGCTATGAAGTATCTGGCCCAGTGCACGAACCTTCTGCAGCCCCTAGTCGCTCAGTTCTGTTCTCTTTCCCCTCTAGCGTGGGCATCTTACATGACCAACTCCCCAACTCTCATCGTTATGATTGGCTTGCCAGCCCGGGGCAAAACCTATGTGTCCAAGAAACTTACGCGCTACCTCAACTGGATTGGGGTGCCCACCAAAGGTAGGTGCAGGTCATTTATTCCTTGGGAAGGGAAATGATTAGTTCTTGGGCCTCCCAAGCCTCTGGAGATCTGTTCTCCTTGGCATCAAGATTACAGGCTGCTCCTGGCAGAAATAGTGGTTGATTCCTGATTTACTGGATTTATTCCCTGTTTACAGACTTGTTTCCTCTTGGCCTGCGTGGATTGGCCTAGATTTAAGGGCATGCCTTTGATGGTATAGGGCTTTACCTCCATATAGATCATCTTGTCTAATCCTAGCAGTACTCCTGTGAAATTGCCAAAGTGGCTGAGGAAATTGAAACTCAGACAGTTTAAGGCTTGTTCAAGGACTAATACGTCTGAACTTGAATCTAACTTGACTCTAAATCTGGTATTGTTCCCAACATACCATGGTGCTTTCTTTCGTTTCCTTGGCAACTCTGACATTAGACCAAGAAGTCCCCTTTGGTGGGGCCATTGTATCGTTTCACTGCTGAGGGCTGTTGGTGTCATCTGCAGTGTTTAATCTTGGGGTATATCGGCGTGAAGCAGTCAAGTCCTATAAGTCCTACGACTTCTTCCGGCACGACAATGAGGAGGCCATGAAGATCCGCAAGTGAGTCTTCTTAGGCCTGACCTCCCAGTGAGCTCCTTCTCTGCCATCACAAGACTGGGCGTGGCGGGGCTCGGTTTTCCTGTCAGTAAATATCCTTTGGGGATTTTAACTGGAGATTATTTGGTAGACAGGTCACGTTGGGCTTGGGTAGGTAGCAGAACAGGCTCAGGGAGAAGCATGTGTGTTCGTAGGGTAAATCTGTAGAGTGAGACTTTATATGCATGGGGCAGGGGAATGGGAAAAATACAGGATAGTCTAAAAACCTCAGTGGGGAAGCTGAAAAGTCCAGTTAGGGGAAAATTTTGGCTGGGAAAACTAAGTGGGAAGGGATGTGACTCCTCTCGCAACCCAGCTGTTCGTGTCTCTGGCTGTACCTGAGCTTGGTCGGGTACTGCTCTCACTGATGTCCTCCGTTCTCGCGGCAGACAGTGTGCTCTGGTGGCGCTGGAAGATGTGAAGGCATACCTCACTGAGGAGAGCGGGCAGATCGCGGTAAGCCTTCCCTGCCTCTTCCCCATCTTGATATCCACCCGAGAGACTGCACAGCCTCACCAGGAGTCTGCCTTGGTGGGATTCCAGTTCTCCCTGCCCACTTGTCTACTTTGCGGCCTCTCTCCCCAGGTGTTTGATGCCACCAATACGACTAGGGAGAGGAGGGACATGATTTTGAACTTTGCCAAGGAGAATTCCTTCAAGGTAGGCTTTGGCTCCCTGCTGGAGGAGAGGGATGAGTGGCGGTGGGAAGTCAAGAGGGACGTGAGGATCTCTTTGACTCCGGTGGGTGAGGAGGACAGGGTCGGCTATCCGCTTTTCTTTTCTTCGGAAATACCCCCAGTCCTTGAGTGTTTTCTTTCAGGTCCTTTCTTAGCCTGTATGTCTGAGGCCCTGGTGATGTGGTAGGAGCTGTTTTTAAATGAAGAGGCCTTGAAGGCCACTTTCGTGAAAAAAAATCCCCGGGGGGGTGTGGTGGCTGTGGCGGGGCTGTTAATGAACAGCCTGGGCACTTTTGACTCATTTATCACTGCCTCCCCTCCCTGGCCAGGTATTCTTTGTGGAATCTGTCTGTGATGATCCTGATGTCATTGCTGCCAACATCCTGGTGGGTGACACCCCTGCGTACCACCACCTCCCTGTCCATTCTGCCTTGTGTTATGTGTGTGTTGGTAGGTAAGGGGGGAGAGTCAACTGGGCAATGAAAGAAAGAAATAGACACGTTTAACAATGCAGGGCGATCTTTTTGATTTGACAGAGCACCATTTTAGACTTACACATTCTTCCCGTAGGAGAAGAAACCGAGACTCTGAGGAATAAAGTAAGAATGAGCTGTTGAATGGAAGCCAAGACTTAGGCCGTAGGAGTTTTGGCCCTGTGTTCTGGGTATCAGCTGGATGCTGAGACCTAGGGATGTCCTCAGAGTAGATCAGCCTCTTCACTGTCTGTCAGGGCCACCACGTAGGGAGGTCATCTGCCCACTCACTGTCTAACATTCAGGTCAGTGCTCTGTGCACTGTCTCATGCCCTGGATGGTCACAGTATAAACCAATGCACATTTGATGGGTTGTACTGTGCCGTGTGGACATGGTATCATGGTAGTGCTCTCCTAGCAGTGTGGGAACTTGGAAACAACTAAGAAGAGGTATCTGGTCCAAGTCAGGCATGCGTCAGATCAAGCACCCTATTCTGAGTGGTCGTACGGAGAAATTGAAGCCCATTCTGTGTTCCCAGAAGGGCACATAAAGGGATTGGGGCCCAGGAGCAGTTTGAGCTGTGTGACTGCCTCAGTCCTTCAGCCAAGGGCAGGCACATGACTCCACAGTTGTCTTTCCTTTCTTGGTTGCCAGGGTCACAGGACAGGGAGGGGGTGCTCAGTGAATGGGGATTGCCAATGCTCCAGTGAAAGAGCCCTTCTGTGGACTTCCTTCTCTTTATTTAGCATTGGCTGTTTGTAGGAGGGCTGTTAAGGACACACCTCTGACCAGGCCCTACTCTCCCTATGATTCCAGGAGGTAAAGGTGTCGAGCCCTGACTACCCTGAAAGAAACAGGGAGAATGTGATGGAGGACTTCCTAAAGAGAATTGAGTGCTACAAAGTCACCTATCGACCCCTTGACCCAGACAACTATGACAAGTAAGGTTTAAGGCCATGGTTTGAAGGGCCTGAGGCAGGGGTCTCATTTGAGAAAAGAGCCTTTCTCCCTCTGTCCTCAAACTTCCTTCTGACCATCCAGACCTATAATGTTTACATCATTCCAAAGAAACAAGGTATGGATTTGTGGCTTCTCTGTAGGTTGCATCTTACACTTGAACAGTGAAGTGTTTTTTATCATCAGTTCTTCCTCTCTGTTCTCTAAAACAAGGTTTCTCAGTCTCTGCATTGCTGACTAATTCTTTATTACAGCAGTAGGGGCTGCCCCGTGCACTGTGGGGTGTTTAGCAGCATCCCTGGCCTCCACTCACTAGAGACCAGTAATACTCCCAACCTACGACATACCAAAATGTTTTCAGACATTGCCAGGTGTCCCTGGGGAGCAAAATCAAGTAGTTCTGATCTAAGGTGTTGTAGGACACCCCTCAGAGATGTGTCATCATCAGCTTTTGATGAATTTTTGAAGTTTATTGTGTGTATATATCTATTCTGTAACACACATGTATTAGTATATAAGTTTACGTATATTACACACAAAAGAGTAACATAATATAGAAATATGTTTACATAGAACATATGTACATATACAGATACACATAATGTATATATGATGTTATGTATATAAATACATATGATACAAATACATATCAGTAAAAATGTGTAACAAATATATAAATGTATATAAAATGTGTATATATATATACATACGTGTGTGTGTGTGTGTGTGTGTGTGTATGTGTGTACATATATATATAAAGCATGTAAAATCCTTAAGAACATGCCTGGTTCATCAAAAATGTCTGATTGAGTGCTAGCCATTATTACTGTGGTAGTGTCTACTAGCAATATGGTATGCAGTAGGGGTTAACTTGATGTGCACAAGGTACAAGAGCCATAGTAAAAATTCCAGGCCTTTTGGAAAGATTCACGCACAATGTATTTTATCCGTTTTTTTTTTTCTTTTTCAAAAACTAATGATGTACTATATGTTGGCTAACTGAACATAAAGAAAAAAAAAGAGCCATAGTAAAATGTGAAGTCCATGTTGAAGAAAGATGTGTACACACAGAAACCTGGGGAATGTGGCCATACAGTTAACGGCTGTGTTTGAATAAGATATGGCCCCGCGGCCAAGCAGATGGCAAGATAAGTCCGTGTAGCTCACTGTTCCATTGTGTTAGTGGTCTGTTTAATGTTTTGAGTCTTGAAGTTCCTTCAAGTGGATTGCCCAGAATGTTAGTATTTGGAGGTGTTCCTTAATATAGAGGTTGAAAACCACTGTTCTAGAAATGGTGTAATAGTATATTCTTCTACAAAGAAGTCCTATATAGAAAAACATTCCAGAACAGTGTGTGTGTGTGTGTGTGTGTGTGTGTGTGTGTGTGTGTGTGTGTGTGTGTTTATAGATAGTATTTCTGATGGTAGGATTTGGGTGATTTTTATTTGCATCATTCTACCTTTTTTTGAAAATTTTTTGGAATAAGTATTTATCTTTTTTTTTTATTTAAATTCCAGTTAGCATTTATCATTTTTACAATGAGAAGAATTCTCTGATGAGGCAACCGCTGCAGAAGTACCCCTGAGAGAGGCTGGATTAGGTAGATGCGGGGGACGTGGAGAGATCTCTAAGATTCTGCTGCCTGCTGCCCTCCCTGTGGGCCATGCCGTCCCCTGGCCAGGGCTTGACCGCCTCAGATGGGGGTTGTGCTTCTCACCAAACTTCAGGGTTAGCAAAATTGTCAGGTCACCTAGTCTAACCCGTGAGGGAAAGCCTGGATTCTTCGTATCCTACTTATCTGAACTACATGGCACAGTACAGGCACTTGAAGAAATGGTAGACTGGCCAGAAGTTCAGGACATCTTACTTCATCTTGGGTCTGAGGTGCAATCCGTCTCTTACCAGTTGCTTCCTTAAAATGTGGGTTGGCGTTGACGGGAGACGAGGAAGGGGCTGCCTCAAACCTGCAAGTAATTATGGGAATCCTTCCCTTCCCGCTGTTATCCTCAGATTTTCATTCCCAGGGATTCTCTTTTCTCCTGCTCTGTCGCAGGGATCTTTCTTTCATCAAGGTGATAAATGTGGGCCAGCGATTTTTAGTGAACAGAGTCCAGGACTACATCCAGAGCAAGATAGTCTACTACCTCATGAATATCCACGTGCAGCCTCGCACCATTTACCTTTGCCGGCATGGAGAGAGCGAATTCAACCTCTTGGGGAAGATTGGGGGTGACTCGGGCCTCTCGGTGCGGGGAAAGCAGGTGAGGCATTCAGCAGCCGGCTGGATTTCCCAGGCTTAGAATTGGAGGAAAGGCATGGTGGGGGTCATCTCTCTTGTCCCCTTACTTCTTCCTAAATCCCACTGGGGCTGAGGCTGTGGTTTCAGAAAATCCAGCACATGTGGAAGACCTCTTCTTGTCCACTGATTCTGGCTGTGTTGTAATGTGGTAACTTGGAACCACTTCTGTTAATTCAACCGTCAGGTATTTATTGGGCATGACTTGTGTGCTGAGCACAGTACAGGATGCTCCAGTGGAAGTTCATTTCCTCTTGGGTTTATCATAACTGTGTAGCACCTTTTGGATTTTGACCATGGTCCTACACGTTGCCCTTTATAGGCCAAGTTAGCAATTGTGTGTGTGTGTGTGTGTCTGTACGCGCGTGTGTGCGCATGTTTCTCTCCTTTAAAATTTTTATCTCCAACCCCAGTTTGCCCAGGCTCTAAGGAAGTTTCTGGAGGAACAGGAGATAGCAGACCTCAAAGTGTGGACGAGCCAGCTAAAGAGGACTATCCAGACTGCTGAATCCCTGGGTGTGACCTATGAGCAGTGGAAGATTCTGAATGAGATCGATGCTGTGAGTAGGAATTCTGATGGCTGCAAAGCCAGTAAGAGTCTCTTATTCAGGCAGGAGCTCTCAAGTCACAATATGGGCAGTTTTATCTAGAAAAGTAGAACTACCAGGTAGTAGTAGTAGGGGAGGAAGAGGGAACAATTGCACCCTAGTCAGGGCTTCCTGCCTGTTTGAGCACCTGTGCCAGTCACGGGCCTAGACCAGTCTGTGACCTAGCCCCTCTGGCATCTGGGGAGAGCACGGCTCCATTTTGTTCCTTTGTGTATTTTTCTGCTGGGGAAAAGAAATAACTAACAACTCCCTTCTTTAATTTCTGCTTAGATCACTTGGTCCTTTCCAAATTTTTTTCTTGGCTTTCTCTGTCCTTGAGCACAAAAGCAGACATTTCTTTTTCTTTTCTTCCTCTGTACCTTTTTATGCCTTCTGCAAGAATTCTCTGGTCCCTTCAGTTTCTCCTTCCCTGCTTCCTGTTCCCTTTATCCTGCTGACTTTTCTTGGACCTTTAACTTCTCTGAAGTAGTCGGAGCAAGTAGTCGGAGCAAGCTGAGAAGCCACATCCTCTGCGCAGTGGCCCTCCCCCTGCCAGTCCCAGCCGCCCGGGCGGGTGGGTGGCAGTACAGGCCAGGACCCAGCACAGTGCCTGGCACATAGTAAGAAGCCAGGATTCCTTAGTACCGCCCCCCTTGTTTGGGGGGAGCCGCATGGGGTGGCCTCCCTCCTGCAGCCGGTGTGGCTCCCTGCAGGGCGTGTGTGAGGAGATGACCTATGCGCAGATTGAGAAGCAGTACCCGGATGAGTTCGCACTTCGAGATCAAGAGAAATACTTGTATCGGTACCCTGGTGGGGAGGTGAGATTTCCCCTCACGTGGTGTGACTGTCCAGCCCTCCGTTGGGGGTTTAGCTTTAATTAGGGGGAAGGAGTGAATGGGATGTGGAAGGTCTAGAAAGGGTAGTCAAGGCATCATGTAGTTTTGTCCTCCAACTTTGGGTCATAGTGTGTTTAATTCAGCTTAGACCATCGAACATCTCATTAAGATCTCCAGGGAAAAGGGTGACAGGATGTCTTGTGTGTTGATTAATTGTAGAATGAGCATTTTCTTTTTTACTTCTTTTTTTCGTTCCACTCCCTCAGTCCCACCCTGACCCAAGCAGGTATAGGCCCCGAGTCAATATATGGGGTATGAATGATTTCCCTGTCATCTCGCATGTTTGAGGCTGTTCGCTGGCCCGAGGGGCTTCGTAGTCTAGAGCCCTGGGAGGCCCAGGTAACTAAAACCAACGGCGGAGGTCCAGGAAAGCCCTCAGAGCCTCACGTGCTGTCTGTTTGTGGGAAGGAAAAAAGACCCAGGCTGAATTCACATTTCCTCTTTTTGACCTGTAGTTTTCTTGATCTGAATGTTGCTCTTGAAAGGTCTGAGGCTTCTCAAGAGATCACAGGGCTGGGGGTAGTTAGCAGGCGACATGAAGTCGCTGAAGCTCCAGGAGGAAAGCCAGCTGGGGAAGAAGGAGAAGTGGCCTCCTGACTCTGGAGCCAGCCACCGACTTGGCTGCTAGCCTGTGCCTGGCCTCCCACCAGTCTGCCTCGCTTCCCCCACAGTCGTACCAGGACCTTGTGCAGCGGCTGGAGCCCGTCATCATGGAGCTGGAGCGGCAGGGCAACGTCCTCGTCATCTCCCACCAGGCTGTCATGCGCTGCCTGCTGGCCTACTTCTTGGATAAGGGTGCAGGTGACATTTGAGGGAAGGGCCAGCGGACACATTCATGGCAAGGGGGTTGGACTCAGGGTGGCGCCAGGATCCCAGGCAACAGAACCTGCCCCTCTTCCACTCAAACTGGAGTGCATTCTTCCGACAGCAGTGTGGGGCTCCCAGCAGCCACTGGGCCAGCTACTCGCTGAAGTTGCTCCTCTGGTACCAAAGCCCCCATTGGAGAGTGGCCACTGCTGGAGCTCCTTAATCCTGCTTGGCTAGAGGGCCAGTGTCTAGCTGACCCTCCTGGCAGAATCAGAAAAGTGGTTTTGCACATTCCCGGCCTGTTATTTGGCTACAAGGAGGGTGGTGTCTCAGAAGCATCTTCATCCTTTGGATTCATCATAGGACAGTTTCTGGGTAAAGCCGTAAGGAAGTTGCTGACTTTTCTTTCCCTCCCCCTTCCCTTTCCCCTTCTCTTTCCCCTCCTCTTCCCTCTCCCCCTCCCCTCCCCTCCCCTCCTCTCCCCTTCGTCTATCTGAGCTGCTGGGCAGCCTGCAGATTGGCCTTTGGTACACCCACATGGGCCACAATCTTCCCTTCCACTGGGTCCTGCTCACTTCTGTTTTGCCTTCATGGAAGGATCTAAAATGGACTGCTTTTCTTCCTTAGCCTCTCAGTAGCTTGGGCAGCTTCTTTAGTGGCTGTTCCGATAATTGTCTGGGGTTTAGGGGAGGAATTGTACAACTCTAGGTCAGGGTGAAGAGAACTCATGAGCTCCTTAGATTCTCCCACTTACTTGACCTTAATGCATAGTACTAAGAGACTTCTCTCACCTGGTCTTTCTGTTTTCAGATGAGCTACCATACTTGAGGTGCCCCCTCCATACCATCTTCAAACTTACTCCTGTGGCCTACGGTAACTATGAGCTTAGCAGTGGGCAGGATGTGGGGATTGAAGAAAGTCAGGCTATTTGAATTTTCTCTGAAGTTTGTCTAGAAGTTCAACTTTATCACCCCTGTATACCAGGGAAATTCCTTTAGTGCTTTCCATTTTTAAAAGGATGTATCAGGGCGCCTGGGTGGCTCAGTCGGTTAAGTGTGTGCCTTTGGCTAAAGTCATGATCTCAGGGTCCTGGGATCGAATCCCTCTCCCTCTGCCCCTCGCCTTGATCATGCTCTGTATCTCTCTCTCTCTTTCTCTAATGCATGAATAAAGTCTTATAAAAAACAGATGTGTGTATTTGGGAATATATACATTCTTTTATGGTATGTTTCCCATACTGAATCTAAGGAATTTTTCTTGGAGCTTTTTTCCTGAAGGCCTTTTTCTCTTTCCTCTGTTTCCTCAGGATGTAAAGTGGAAACAATTAAACTCAACGTGGAGGCTGTGAACACTCACCGTGACAAGCCAACCGTAAGTATTTTCCCGCAGATGAACATGCAGGCCCCCTGCCACCTTGAGTCTTTGAACCTTTGACATCATGAGACTCAGGTTTTGTTTATGTACAAAAGGGAAACACATCCAGAACTCATGTCCTATGTAGTCTGCTTACTTCCAAAAGGAAGAAATGTTGGAATTATTACTTTTTAAAATTAGTACCCCTTTCATGAGTCTTAACCTTGAAAGTTGGCTCCTGGAAATCCAGTTAAATATGGGAAGTGTTTGGCCGAAGTCAAATACAGATTTTTTTTTTCCCCCAGGGAGTGCTCCCTTTAGAAAGTAGGACCCAGAAGAGCCTATAAGGTGGGGTCAAGCGGTGTAGGGTTTGTTCCTAGGTCTGTCCTGATAATCTGTGTGATCTTAAATAAGCCCCTTGTTTTCGTGGGCCCTCCTTCCTCCTTTGGAGTATGATGCTCAAGGAGCTTTCTCCTTCTACAACCCTTTAGCTTCCTGGGACTAGGGCTAAGGCCATGGCCCATGTCTTATGAGAGACTCTATCTGCAGAGGAGCAGGACTGGAGGAAACGGTTGTGGTTACAAGCATTATTTAACCTTTATGAGTGAGCTTTTGGCTTGGCTTTCATTTGTGTGGTGTCCCTCCATTTCCAATCAGAACAACTTCCCCAAGAACCAAACCCCTGTAAGGATGAGAAGGAACAGCTTTACGCCTCTGTCCAGTTCGAATACAATAAGGCGTCCAAGAAATTACAGTGTTGGGAGCCGGCCCCTCAAGCCCCTCAGCCCTCTCCGTGCCCTGGACACGCAAGAAGGGGCCGACCAGCCGAAGACCCAAGTCAGCATTCCGGTGGTGTAACCGTGTGTCCCCTCCAGGCTTGGCCTCCTGCCCTTGTCTCTAAGCACCAAGGAGTCATTTAACTTCCAGCCCCCACCCCCAGCACCCCACCGTGGACTTTAACACAGAACGTGAGCTCATGTGTTTCCAGACCGATCTTAGCTGTTCTCCAGGGTGAAGCATCTCCCCACCCAGGGGCAATTTGACCAGTAGGTGTTTTAGGACATGTCCTCAGTTGGGGTGGTCTGGAGGGGGAGGAAAAGGGATACATTCCCCTGGGTGCTTAGCGTAGCTGGGTCTGAGGTTAAGCCTGCCCCATAGCCTTGGTTCTTGTCCCTGGTGTCTAAACTCCTCACGTCCTTGTGTTGGTAAAGGCGGGGGTGGGGCGGAGGGGGAGACAGAAGCCCATTTTTCCTTCACCTTTGTCTCTTCAAGGTGTGCTTTACTCACAGTCCTTACTTGCCTGCTTTGTCCCCCCCCTTGCTCACCTCCCCTTTGGATTCTCTGGTGTGATGCATGGCATTGTCATTGTGTCTGTTGAGGAGGGAAGGGGTGGTTGGCCAGAGAGAAGTCTAGGCTCTGTTGATGCTCTCTGCAGGGGGCCTCAGTGGATCCAGACTGGGGGAGCTTTTTTTTTCCCCTTCTCCTTTCCTCTCAAGCCAGGTCCTGAAAGGGTCAGCCCAGGCTGCAGAACATCCACAGATGCTCTGGAGCCCGCAAGTGGACATAGGGTGAGAGTTCGTGCCTCCTTTCATGAGAGCCAGTCCTAAGTCTTTGAGGCTCTGGGGGAGTTGGCTCTGAGTATGTGTGAAATATCTTGGTTGGTATTTTTCACTTCAGGAGCCAGGCATGGGTCTTTTTGGCTGTGGAATGAGGTTTAGGAGAATAGGACGTTCTCTAGGTCTTGCAGGGCTCTTCTAGGCCAGTTATGTCTTCTTTCAGTGGCTCCCAGGTTTGCCAAGCACAGCAACTTTCCTGCCGAGGCCAGTGACCTCTGGGGCTGTTTAGAAGGACAGAGTTAGATTAAAGAGTCACCGCTGATACTGGAATTGCTCAAGGCAGACAGATGGCAGAGAAGAGTTCACTAGAGCTTTTTATTCTCCTGTAATTTTCAATACACTCTCCTCTTTACGTTAAAAATTTTTGCATGAGCAGTGCTTCCCCCCACTCCCCCAAATGTGGAAAGGCCTGGCCATGAATTTAATCTCCCTCACTGGTGTATTCTTTTATCTCATCTTGGTTTCCAGGAGTCTTTGGCACCTTGAGGGGTCTAGCTCTTAATTATCTGGAATTGCCTATTCACTTTTGTCATTTTATTTTCTCTAGGGTTAAACAGGAAACGTTTAGAGCAGGGGATTCTTAGCTCCTTGGTGGCGCCTCCAATTCGGTATATAAAACATGAATATATGTGCAGTTTTCTGAGAGGGAAGTCAGATTTCTCATGAGATTTTTAAAAGTGATGGAATGCATCCACACCTTAAAGTTATCAATTGTCTTTTAGAGGAAACCAGTGAGAGCAAGTGACCTATTTGCCAAGGGTCTTTTGGTTTGGTAATAGAAGACCTTTTGTCATGGTTCTCATCTAGGAGCATTCATTACAATCCTCTTTAGAATTTTTGAAACACATACATGCCCCAGTCCACATTAGGCTTAATACTAACTCAGAATCTCTGGGGTTGGGGTCTGGGCATGTCTGCGTTGAAATAACTTCCCTGAAGATTCTGATTCATATTCAGGGTTAGAGCTCCATTTCAGTTGTGGGGAGAAACACTGGAGTACTTCCTCGGATAGAGCGTCAACCTAAGAATTCTGAATTCTTTTTGGCTCTGAAAGGACGATTCTCTGGAGTTAGACGTGTGAGCAGATCACAGTATTACACTAAGTAATACACTAAGTATTACACTAAGTGACCCCCTTGAAGGCAGGCTGCTGTGTTTTAGAGCGTTACTCTGGGTTCTGGTCCCATCTTTAACCCTTTACACTGCAAGGTGTTGTGGAACAAAGCACTGTGTGAATAAGTGTCCTCTGGTAATAGCTGGGAATTTTCAGCACTCTGGATAAAGGCACAGAGATAAAACCTGTAGGATGATAAAGGTTATCATCGTAGGCAGCTGCCTTGTGACCTTGAGTCCTTTATTCTTGCATCTGAGTAGAGTAGGACATCACAGTGTTTCCAAAGGCTGCTTGCCTAGCTTCTGCTCCTCAGTGTGTCTAACCTGCTCTTCCTGTTTTGCCATTACATTCTGTGTACATGGTGTCTTTGCGGGGCTTTGGGCTGGGTCGGGGGGCTGATGATGATAGGGTGCACAGAAGTGGAAGAAAAGGTCCTTGCCCTGAAGAAGGCTATTTTAGAGACAGGGTATATAGTTTATAATGAACATTTGCAAAAAGAGCAACACATTGAGTCTGTAAGTGTGGACACTGAAGGGGAGTTCAGATTCCTTCTGACTTTTCTCTCATCCTGTGAGACTAAAGAGGGGTAGCAGGTGAGAGTCCTTCCCCTCCAGGTGAGAATGAGATGTGGTCTAGGTGGTGTGGGGGGCACTTTTACAAGGTGGCTTCATCTAACCTTACTTGGCCGGCAGCATCCTTAGCCCAAATGATTATTCATTCAGTTTGGTTTTTTTTTCCTGCTGTGCAATAAGAATAATTCAGAGCTAACGAATGACAAGCAGGAGCATTTTGATCCAAAGACTTTGGATTTGGGTTGTGCATACTCTTAGTGAGAGGAGGATTCTCTAACACACGAGCCTTGTGTTACCCTGTTATAAACCCCGGCATGAGCCACAGGTCACCGGGATGTTCACTGTGGCCCTCAGCCTGCTCCTTATTTCTCCACTCTCCCCCGTGCTAGTTTGCTTCCCCCAAAAGAGGAGCCTGAGGTGGTCTTTTTAGTGTCAGGTGGGACACAAGAAATTAAACTTCACTGTAGCAAGGCTTTCGGCATCCTTCAGTTTTTAGCGCAAGATCCCTCCAGAGAAGTTTCTGCAGAAAGAAGCCAGGAGAATACAGAATGGTAGAGAGCTCTTACTCCAAACTTTAGAGAAGTTCCACTTCCTTTCTTTTCTGTCCTTCTCTCTTCCTTTTTTACTGGAATGTGTATCGGTAGTATCTGCACATTGCTATAGTTATGTCTAGGTCATAGAGTCGACAAAGAAAGGATGGATTCCGGAGCACCTTTTGCTGAGGCTTTTGGTTTCGTTGTGGGAGAAATAGGTGAAGGCTTTAGCATTTAATCTATTAAATTATTTAATCTAGTAAACGGAGAAAGGAAAATCCCTGTATATTTCATTTTCTTGCTTGGAAGCTGAATGATGAATTTTGTAACAGACTTGAAAGAGGAATCCGAAGCAGATTTAGAGAACTAGCTTCTCTTGTCTCGTAATCCTCACATTAGAATTTAGTTCTTATTAAGCTGTATTGTCTTTGGTTTGTGTTTTGATAAGGGGATTGTTTTACATTCAGCTGCAAAGTAGAATTAGAAAATCTTAAAAACATGCATTGTGTAGGGGGTCTGCCCTATCTTATTGTCTCAGGGTTTTTTTGTTTGTTTCTCCCCCAAGAAGTTAGAATTAGGAATACACAGCGTGTCTATATTCCCAAGCTGAATGGACGAGTGTTTCCTGTGAGGTTCTGGGTGTTCCTCTTTGCAATCCACAAATGAATCTGCAGAGGCACCGGCATTCTCAAGAAACATGACATAACTTTGGAAATAAATCCCATCTTCTGGTTTTTTGTGAGTAGGAGATGTGGGTTCTGGAGAAACCCACTGGTGCTTGGGGTAGCCGAAGGACAGGGGGAAGAATGTCTAATGATTGAGAGAACTATATCTGGGTTATACAGTCTTAACGGACATTCCATTGTTTTTGCCAAGTTCAGAAGACATGTTGTGTTTGTTTTCAAGAAATTTGGTCAATTTACCCAGGTTTTCTAAGATGTATTTTGACTTGGTCATGTTTTAAAATATTTCAATTTAAAAAATATCTAACAATTGAGCCACAACAGGTTGTGACATTGGCAGGATGGATCTCTGACTTCCCAGAGAGGTGATACAGTCATCAGAAGTATGTCCAGGAATTTAATTTGGATGCATAGTGTCCAGAAGACTGTATCTAGTAGTATCCATATGCTTACTGACTGGCAGACCCTGATAGAATCTGTATGCTGACTGGCTGACTGACTGACAGACTCCAGTAGGGTTTTATAATCTGACAGTCTGTTCTCTAATTGTCCCAGTTAGTAGTACATGCATATTACTGTGATCTTGTGTCCGTTGCATGTGTCCTACAAAGAAAGGAAGTAAACACTTTACCTTTTTTTTCAGGGGGAAGTTCTGTACCTATGATTTTTAATAGACATTTCTTTTAGAGGAGCAGTCAAAAATATCATCATTTGGTAGAAAACGAAGGTTGAACATCACTTTTGTATGTTATTTGGTGAACTCAGTGAAGGAAGTACCTTCTCAAAGCCTGAAATTATTACCTCTACCTGCGTGCATTCCACCCACTCTCCCACTTCTAGGCAGGACTTCCCTTTTACCGTCTGCTTCTGAACCTTCTGTGTCCTCAGCTTCCCTGTCACAGGATATAGCAGCGGATAATGCTGTTGTTGCATTTGGCTCTTATTCAAATCTAATAAATAAAAATGCAAAGGAAGTTTTGCATTTAAAAATTGATCTTAAGAGTTGGCAAAGGTATGCTTTCCAGTCAGCCTTTCACTGGGGATCTAGGTAGGACCAATCTTTATCAACTCAATGTTTTTGTATCTGAACTGCTTGTGTACATTTTTTTTTATTGTGTTTAAATAACAAAATCCGTTCGTTCTGATATGGTGATGGTTTTACTGTGGCAAAAGCAAAGGACTGATCACCAGCTGTGCCCCTGGAGGGGGTTGGAAATGGTTGAAGGGAATGGACTGAATTGGGAACTCATGTATAGAGTTATCCTGCGGATTTCCTAGGCACAGCTCTGGTGAAAAAGGAATGTGAGTCCTTACCAGCATTCTGACTTAATCTGGTGACATTGATATCAAAATATGCCACTCAGATCCACATAAGGTGTGTATAACTATATTTGAAATGTGCTTTTGTGTGTGTGTGTGTGTTTGTGTGTAGAATGGGTAAATAAAATTGTTGAGTAACTTGAACCTATGAGAAGGCTTCTGGGTTTTTTGTTTTATATTTTGGGTTGTGTTCTCCACCCACTCCCCCACCTTTGAAACTGTCTCCTGCTGTTCCATGACTGAGCCTCAGAGGAGCCAAAGCCAGTTGGCGGTGTGACTGGAGTCCTTGGTGTGGGCATGGCTCTCTTCCACCACCTTCTGGGAAAGATGGGAAGGACGTTATGGAAGGCACATGAACTTCCGTAGAAGTTGTGTGGACTTTTTGGCGCCTCTCCGAGAATTAAGAAAAACATACCTTTGCCCGAACTGTACTATGACTCCCGTTAGCCACATGTAACTCATTATTGTAAAGAAAAAAATGCGGAGATTTCTTAGAATTTAGTGGGCTGTTCTTCTAAAACATGACCCGCCTTTTTCTAAAGAGCTTACAGTCAACGGAATGAAATGGCATTTGACTTCTGGGACAGGAAATACAGGTGGAACTGTGTCACTGCCTCTCTCTTCAGTTCCTTGTCAGCCTCAAAAGGAGCTGCAGGAGCTCCTTAGACATGCACTCGGGGCCTACTGAGTCACAGTCTTTGACTTAATAGGATTACCAAGTGATTCAGATGCACATTTAATACTTGAGAAACACTGCTCTAGGGGGAAGAATTCCTCACAAAACATTCAGTCCCAGTTTATGGGAAGAAGCTGATTTCTGCTCTGACGGATTGCAGAACAGACTGGGTTAGCTACAACTGTAGAGACCCTCCTCAGAAGCCAAGTAGCCTGTGACAGCAGTGCCGTTTTTGTCAGCATGGTCTTTTGGTTGATAGTAGCCTGTGTGCTCTCCTTTTACCACAGGATTTCCTGCAGCTTCTACCTCCTATCTTGGGTATATAGCTTATAGTCTAGGTCTGGAAGAAGTGCCTGGTCCAACATGGTTACAAAGGTCGGTTTCTCAGGGAAAGAAGCCCATGACTATACTGTTGGAGTTTGCTAAAGGGTAAAAGGGTGTGTGCCAGCACAACAGAGGGTCCATGCATGTGTGTGGAGGTGGGGATATGGGCGGTGGGGGAGCATTGGAAGGGGGGGAGGGGTTCTGCATTACTTTTACTTGTCTTTTGGCCGTGGTATAATTGCTTTGTCTCTCTTCCTCTCTGGCTTGTAGGCAGAGACCGGGTTGGCTGTGCACAGGCACTCTTCTTCAGCGTCCCTCACATCGCTTTGCTGATGATGTGAAGGCTGAGGCCAGACCTCTCGAAGATCTACCACAAAGCTTGGGATGGCAGCTCCACAGGGGCTCCATCAGGAAGTTAAGCTGGGATTGGACATTTGGAGCCACCAAAATGAGGCCTGGAAAAACATTACATTTCTTCCTGTCGTACCTAATGGGAATATCTTACACGGGGTAACTTAACTTCCCTCTGCCTCAAAACATCTAACGGCCTGAACTGATCAGTGTGTATTGTCTCTTTGCTGGGTGTGACCCCAGTTGGCCAGTCTTGTTCTGTTTCAGCATTTAACTTCCTACTTGCAATTGTATCCCTGGCGGCCTGTTCTTTTCTGAAATGCAAATGCACCTCTTCAGATTTGTTTCCAAGTTGAGAGGGCTGCATTGCAGCAAGCATGTTCTGTGCTGTAAGAGCTGGTCTCTGCGTCCATTCCAGCCGGGCAGGCTAGAGGACAATACACATATGTTAGGCGTCCCTTTTTGTCACGTTGGAAACAAGAGACAAATTCACCAGGTGAGTGGAGGGTATCTGAGAAATTCAGTCGCTGAAATGTCTCTTCTGCGGTAATGGAAGAGCAGTGTCAGCCACCTTTTCATGTAGAGAAGTTTTTCCTTGTTCCAGGCCCTGTAAGGGCAGGATCTGACTGCAAGACTCCCCAGAATGGGTCCCCATCTTCAAAGTACTCTTTTCCTGAGTAGCTACTGTATTTCCTACCTGATGCTGTGTCCCCTCACAGTGGCAGAGGGAAATGTCGTTCTCCAGTGGTTGGGAATGAGGGCTGGAGAGAAAAGTAGGGCACCATTGACATTACCTGAAGAAGTAAAGAGGGTTCCTTGGGAATCAACTCTACCAGGGAGTTCTTGCTTCAGACCAGGTGCAGGGGCACATGACTTTCTGTGGGGTTTATCACTATGATGTGGTCTCTACAAAAGCTGTGGCTGTGCCTTCGAGAGCAGCGGGTCTTCTGATGCCTGCCTCTTAGCTAATTGTCACTGGTGGGGTCTCCTGGTCTCTTATGTATAGAACACTACGGGGGGAGGGCAAGGGAGACATGAGTCCTTGAGGGGTCCGTCATTTGGCTTCCTGTAAAGATAAGCCAGGTAATTCTCTAGATCAATGTGATTCTCTGTCGGTGTGATTTTAACATGTCACAACTCCAAAGGAGGGTATAGAAGCTCCAAAGGATAAATATCTTACAAGCAAAATTCTTTTTTTTTTTTTTTTTTTGGGTAAGGATAGTAAGTTTTTTAGCTTTTTAAATAATTTTTCCCTTTCATGCAGATACCCACTTGCTGGGCAAGAGGGTACGTAACAAGAAGAGTAATGAAATGCAGCTTTTCCCAAATGGTTCTTTTATACTGTGGATGATACGGGGCTCCATTACCTAAGATGTGATGAGCTGGGCTGCAGGCAGTTCAGCATCCGGCAACCAGGAGCTTATTTTATACGCACAAAGCTGCCTTCCGAAAGGCTCCTGACTCTGCTCTTAGCAGGGGATTTTCACCTGGCCGTTTGTAGCATGTGGTACTGTCATCATTTTGTTCTTGTGCTGCGGGTTTCTTTCTGCATCTAAACGCAGTGTCTTGATGATCAGATAATATTTTTATTTAGTTATTTATTCATCCATATGAGATTTTTAAGTCCCATATTAGTGTTTGCATGTGTTTGATCAGAATGTAAGATAATTGGTGTTGTCTGGTTTTTGGTAGAAATTTAGGTAGTTTGAGATTTTAAGTGTGATGTCCATAGTATTACCTTAAATTAAATTTCCAAGGTCTAGGTATCTGTCTTCTGTAAAAGGATGATAACTGTGTTAAGGCACAATGGATTTCTTTTGAGTACTTTTTTTTTCTCATTTATTTTTGTTATAAGTATCAACCAAGAGGTGCATATCTCTGGAGAGAAGTTTATCTCCTGGATAAATAAAATCATGCTAAAATATGTCAGTAATATGTATTGCTTTGTAATAAGAAATATAATAAAAGTTATTTTTAATTTAAAGATGTAAGTAATTTTTGAAATCACCACAAAATAGGATAACATTTGGTGCATTATACATACCCAAAATGTTAATAATATTGTGCAAAATGTCTTTGAAACTAGCTTCTTGAAAATGATTCTCAAGTTCTTAGATCATATATATATTTCTAGCTAGTGCTTGAATTCGTGACTCCCGCCTTTATCAAGTTACATTAGCATTTCAAAATGATATCAATAGGATCATTATTGCCATATATTATTGACATTCTGGAACTTTATTAATTTATTTAACAAATATTTAATGATCATCTATTGGTTTTCATGCAGTGAGTAAAGCCAAGTCCCTGTCCCCTGTCCTTGGAAAGATCTCCAAGCACTTTTGCAGGTGTTACATTACCCGGCCATCAAACCATCATTTGTAGAAGGAAAAGCACATCTGGGATCATTCTTATTTCACAAATAGGTGAATGAACACCCTTATTAAGTGACTTACCTCAGAACAAGGTAAATGGTAAGATGTGTAACAGTGAGGGCCCAACAAACATATAACATGCTGTTTTTAAATGTAGCTGGAAACTTCATAAAGATACCAGAATTAGAATATGACTCCTCAGAGAGTGCTCCAGTGTTGGGTGATGGTCATTATTTGGCTTATTTCTGTAGCCTTAATTATTCCCTCATGTGTTCAGCCTCTCCAGGATCTTCTCTGGGGACTGTCTGTGAGGAGGCCAGCCTCACTAGCCTGCCCTGGTCAGTGACAAGCCCACTGGCACTTCCCGTGGCAGTCCGACATTCGCCCATCACCATGCTTTATGGTCTTGAAGTATTCCCACCATCCAACCTACATTCATTGTCTTGAACTCACCTGAGGATTTGACAAAAGCTGAGGCCCCTCTCCCCCACCAAAGGTAGATACACTTCACTTTCGCATTCAGTGGAGTGGGTGTCGTGACCGCAGGGTAGCAAAGCAGGAGCTAGATGATAATGTACACACACCCCATCTCCCTTTCTTTTCTCTGACATTTAAAAAAAAAAAATCCATCCGTTTGATACTAACTTTTTTAAGCAGAGGAAGAATATGTGGGATTTGGAAATGCTTACTTTTTAAAACTGGACACTGTAGAATATTTAGGAATCTGAATGGATTGTAACAAGATAGCATCGCTAACCTCTGGGGCAGTGGGGGTCAGGGCGGGGGGTGATATTTTCTTTTTCTTAACCTCAGGGTGCCAAGTGCATTTTTTGTTCTCATTAAGCCGGTGCCACACCGTTGCAGGCACCACAGGTGGAACACCTCACTGCCGAGCTCCCTTCTGAATTCCTAAGGGCACCTCGATACCCTCTTGGTGGTATGCTGTACCTTCCCTGCGAAACCATGGTCAGATTTGAGAGATGAGCGTCTCCTCGCAATTAAATGAAATAATTTCACAAGCATAGGAACCCTTGCGAAGCAGCACTGAAGCAGCGTTCCAGAGCTAATAGGGCCTCACCTCTGAACAGGTAGTGCCTTCACCGAGCATCCTGGCTACTTTCAGAGAACAGCTTCTTTAGCCACTTGGATTTTCTTCCTTAGTGATCTTCTTACCTTATTTTACATTCCGTTTTCATTTGTCAGAGTGTCTCCTCTTTTGTCCGTCGCCTTTTCAGAATTTATGGATGGAAAGGGAAACAGTCTGGGCACAATTTAATAAAGTCTATTAACCACTCTTTTCCAAATTTAAATTCCTGGGTCATTTTACTCAAACCCTGGTAGAGCCTTATTTATTTTTTTTGCATTGATCAGTGTTTCAGATTAGAAGGTGAAAGTGTCAGCAAACCCAGAATAACAGCACCTTTTATGTGACAGAAGGTTACTCTCCCCCACAATGAGGTGTGGAGATAAGCAGCCTAGGGCTGGAATGGAGCTTCCTCAATCATCCAAGACCTTCTGTCTTACAATCCTTCTATCCTTCTATCATGTTCACTCATCATCCTCAAAATGTGTTGGAATCTACCCCCTAGTACGATGTAGCTATTCGAGCTACAGGAATCCTCTCTGCATTTTGGTCAGCTGGAAGGAGCGCAAAGATCACACTAACTTCTCGCCATAGCGCATGTCTGTCTTGACTCACAAAGCTCAGACTACAATGTTTCATGAAAAATTAGAGCTTTAAAAAATTTCTGTTAGTTTTAGTCTCATGAAATCTGCATAAAGACTACTTTTCTGGCCCAGGTTTTTCTTGGTGAGGCATTCAAGAAACATCAACTCAATACATTAAAAAAAGAAAAATTGTTGGAAAAGCATTTTAAATCTTTTTGGAATTATCTTGACAAAGACCAAAGGGGATCTAATCATAACCTACTAGAGAGCTTAAAGTTGTCTTTTTCCAATTCTCTTAAAACCACACACATACACACACACACACACACACACACACACACACACACTGCAGTTTAACTCCTCACACCTCTAGTGCTAGCCTAGGCCCTGCTCACCTCCCTGCTCACTTCCTTATCTCTTCACCAATTGCTTCTGCACATTCTTTTGTTGAGCAAGCAAACCAGTCAGTACAACTGCCCTTGAGAACTGTTACCTCAATTCTCCAGAAAACAATCTGGATTAGACCAAATTGCCCTTAATGTCCAAAGGTCTAGAAGAGTGTGTGAATTCTCATTTATTAATTTTGCTAAGCTTGGACACTCGTAATAAAATGTATAATCCTAAAATCCCTTATATGTAATCCCCAAATCCAAAAAGCTTTGAAAACAAAGTTTTCTTCCAATTTATTTGACAGGAAAATCTGACCTAAACTTTGTGAGGATATTTATAGTCTCTATATATCTCAGTGTAAATATTTTTACATTTCATAGAGAAATATTACTAAGGCAATATTATAAATAATATGGTATGCTTTCTAAAACCCTAATCTGAATCTAAAATAAATCATTCAGACGAAGGATTATTTGCAATTATTTCCTGTAATAATGCTCTATTTTATTAGGAATTTAGGAATTTCTCATTTAGGAATAAACAAATTCCAAATTTTAAGAGTAAGCAAAATTTTTTTCACTATTTTTAAAATAATTTGTTGTACAAATATATACATTAGACGCTGGGGAACTTGTATGCCTCAAGAAGTAGAATATGTGGTGTGTTAAGCAAAATTACTCCAAACCTGACAAAGGAGACAAAAAAAAATCACTGGAGAAATTTTTCAATGGGTTCCTGAATATTGCTTTGTAGACCCTCTCTGGGATTATTGATTTCATAGGTGTGTGTAATTTTAATCAATTTTCTATTAACTAGTCTTTTTATAACTCTGTAAGACTAGAGGTTAATGGTAGAAAATGGATAGGAATGCAAATAATTCTTTTCTGAAAACAATGCAAATATTCCTGATAACAAGGCAAATGAATTTTGTCCAGTAGAGATTCAATTAATTTCCGTCAGTTAGGAAAGCTCATTCCAAATATTAAAGTTTGTTGCCATGTGTGATATTAACCAGTTTCACATCAATTAGAAAAGTCACTTCTGGGGGCGCCTGGGTGGCTCAGTCATTGGGCATCTACCTTTGGCTCAGGACATGGTCTCAGGGTCCTGGGATCAGACCCCTATCGGGCTCCCTGCTCGACGGGAAGCATGCTTCTCCCTCTCCCACTCCCCCTGCTTGTGTTCCCTCTCTCGCTATCTGTCTGTGTCAAATAAATGAAATCTTAAAAAAAAAAAAAAAGAGAAGTCACTTCTGAAGGACTTTGACTTGAACCCATAAATCTCTGTTCCTCAAATTCTTTGAATTAGTTGTAGCAACTTAACACTTCTCTCATTAATGGATTGAATAAAATCTTTGACACATATTCATTGTATATTTATATGAGCGTCATGTTACTTATTCTTTCGAGAACCATACTTTAAAAGGTGCTTGCAGGGGCACCTGGGTGGCTCAGTCAGTTAAGCGGCTCGGCTGCCTTTGGCTCAGGTCATGATCCCAGGGTCCTGGGATGGAGCCCTGCATTGGGCTTTATGCTCAGCGGGGCGCCTGCTTCTCCTACCTGCCACTCCCCCCTGCTTGTGCTCCCTCTTTCCCTCTCTCTCTCTCTCTGACAAATAAATAAATAAAAATCTTAAAAAAAATAAAAGGTGCTTGCACTATAGGAACTCACGTATTTGTTAAGTGAAGATAAGCTATGGAAAAACCATAAAGGCAGTATACAATAAATGATAAATTATCAATATGGATTCGAGGAGCTGTGGTAGAGTTTCTGTATGACTATATTCTTGTTATTTGTCCTGCATTGCTTTTATTTACCTAGCAGACAATTCTGCATTTTATGGAGTGCCTGAGAAGGAAATACACACAGGGCATGATCCTTGTCCTCGAGTTAACAGTCTCGTGTGGGAAAAAGACATGAACAAATCATCATAAAGTAATGATAATGGACAGAGAAGAGAAAAACAGTTAAGGCCTTACTGTGTCCTTATGCTTTATATTTATTATGATGCTTTATATTATTTTATTAAAACCTAAAATTTTGGAGGGACTTTACCCCCAATTTTATCATTGGAGCAGGGACAACCAACTTATTGTTGTAATAGTCATGAGGGAGAGGGCGGGAGCCCCAAAGCAATTTCACATGTTTTAATTCCTGAGACCAAAGCTTTTCCCTCATCTCCCTCAGTTCATTTGGTTGACTCTGGACTCAGGCTAAATCCTGACCCCCAAAGATCCACAGAATGGGAACCCTGACGCAGGCCTGGCAAACGCGGACAAGGTGTTGCTGTAGGACTTTGGAGTTTTTCTCAGGTTTGGACATAATCAGGAGCAGCTCCTTGCTGGGAAGCTGTAGATCTAGAAGGTCAGAGACAAGGTGAGGTTAGTTTACTTCCTTGAGCTTTTCCAGTTTTCAGCGTTCGGTGCTGCCAGGACACCTGGTATGTGAGAGACGGGGATGAGGTGGTGCTCAGAGCTGGGTTTCAGTTAGGGAAGCACCAGAGGTTGGTCCGCCCGCCCCAACCTGAAAAGCTGGAGGGAGTTGCAGAAGCTGGACTCTAAACACTAGCAAATATTGACAGAAGTGAGGGTCATGGCTAAACCCCCTGGTCCAAGTCTGTTGTAGCAGGATAAGCCTACACTTCAAAGGAACTTGTCAACTGGATTTGCATAACGGAACCCTGGCGATTTCTAAAACTGAGTTTTAAAACTGGCAGCTGGTCAGCCTCTCCCCTGCTGCAGAAACCCTCCCTGTACTAATTTCCTCTATCTGTTCATATTTCCTGCTGTAGGATTTTTTTTTTTAATTCTTCCAAGGAAGAGAAATCAGGACAACCTCTTCTCTAGGAGAGAAGTAGTTGGTACCCTAAGTGGTGTGAGAAGATCTATTTTGATCCAAACCAGGTGTTGTCTGGTTTGGGTTCATTCCAGCCTGGGTCAAGCAACTGATCACAAGATGGTTTTTCGGTTTGTGTGCTATCTTGTGGTTGTGCGGCTGATTTCTGCCTCAGATGGTGCGTATGCTTAAGATTGGATTATAGGGCACTTGATATCGGTCTATGGGTTATGAGGCATTCTGTCTAGGGTTTTAATGAAATTTAAATTAATGAAATTTAAATTAATGAAATGTATTTCATTTATTGAAAAATCTCAAATTACTTGGCCTAATGCTCTGTACTCAGTAGGAGCTTAGTAAATATTTTTTTTAAATTTCATTTATTTGACAAGGAGTGGGAGGGAGAGCAAGAGAGGGAGAGAGAGAGAGAGAGCATGAGCAGGGGGGTACGGCGGAGGGAGAGGGAAAGCAGGCTCCCGCCTGAGCAGGGAGCCTAATGCGGGGCTCAATCCCAGGACCCTGGGATCATGACCTGAAGGCAGAGGCTTAACTGGCTGAGCTACCCAGGTGCCACAGGGGCTTAGTAAATATTTAATGATGATTCTGCTCTATGACGTGGGTGGTTAACTGTTTACTTTCCTTTTCTGTTCTGGGAGCAAAAAGTACCAATTGCAAAATCTTGAGAAGTCTTATCTGTTATACACTCCAGGAATGCTCTTTGGAAAAGGGATTGTTTCTTTAGGGGTAAATAACTTATGGCTGAATTTCAGTGAAACCAGTTATCCTTTTGAAAACAAAACTTTGGGAATTATTGGGAAGGGAGGGGAGTGGATGGACATAGACATGGAAGAGAACAAGGAATCAGAACCCATAACCCAGCAAAAAGACACTTGGATGGCGGTCTAACAGGGCTTCCTCACGGCACATGATATGTCAAGTGACTCTGTTATCTTTTTCCTTCCAACAGAGAGCTGTCCAGAAGTTCCCGCAGTGGAAAATGGCATAATTGTTATAGAGGAGGTAGAAGGACAAATTCTGGGGACTTGCGTTTGTATCAAGGGCTACCACCTGGTAGGAGAGAAAACCTTTTTTTGCAATGCCTCTACGGAGTGGAATGCTCCTGTTCCCACATGTCGACGTAGGTTTGATCTTCCTGTTTCTTTGTATATCTTGTTATCCCACTTGATTCTTTCACGTCCTACTTCCAGCAGGCCATGCTCAAACTTCATAAGAAAAAAATTCTCAGGGCGCCTGTGTGGCTCAATTGGTTAAGCATCTGCCTTCAGTTCAGGTCATGATCCCAGGATGCTGGGATCAAGCCGCACATCAGGCTCCCTGCTCAAGGGAATCCTGTTTCTCCCTCTCCCTCTGCCACTCCCTCTGCTTGTGCTTGCTTGCTCGCTGTCTCTCTCTGTCAAAAAAAAGAAAGAAAGAAAGAAAAATTTCTCAGTTTCTAAGAATTCATTTTTAAAGCACTCTAGGATGGAACTTCTCTTAGAAGCTACATGATCAGTTCTTGCTCAGTACTGATTACATTAATTAATAAATTGATTGAATTAATAGACACAATCAACCTGCAGGAAGAAAAGAATTTCTTCCATATATTAAAACTACCTTTTTTGGGGCTATAATTTGTTTAATATCATACTCCTTTAAAATTTTAAAAAATTTAAATTGTCTTAAAAAAATTTTAAACATATACAAAAGACGGAAGAGTAAAATCAACTCAACAATTATCCACATATAACTAATCTTTTATCTTCTATAATTCTGTTTTGCATTATTATTTTGAAGTAAATATGTCATATTCTCTTTCATCCATTATATAATGTTCAAACTGGGAAAAATTTATGTTCTTAATTTACAAAGGTGATAACTGAAATCCAAGTGATTTGCTCAAGTTCACAAAGCTCATTTGTGGTGTCTGTGGAGACAGAGAGTCACTAGTCAATATCCTCATTATTATTACTATTTTTAGGACTAACTGGGTTTGTTCTCCACACCAATATGTTTATCCTTTATTTATATGACCAAATTCATCTCTCTCTGCATTCTCTCCTGTTTTTTTTTTCACCTGGGAAAAGCAAAATGAAACAAAGTAAAACACGATGAGTGGTGTGTACATTTCACTGGGTGAGAAGGAAGGGAACCCTTGCCTCAAACATAGGGTGAAGAGTTTTCAGCAGTGCTGAACAGGAGGATGAACACACTGTTGATCATTTCCAGTTCTATGCTTAATTACTTTTAATAAGTTCAAGTGCCAACTGTCACCCTAGTGCATGACCAAGACCTTTCCTGGCCATTCTCAGGCCAACCTACTCTCTTCGTATCCAGCATCGATACAGTTTGGTACTAGGTACCAGCGCCGTTTGTAGTCGCTATTAAAAAGCACTGTTTTAGTTCTGACTTCTGATTTCTCAGTGAAGTTGGAGGTCTCGCCTTTGTAGCGGTGTCCTTTCAGATCACTTCCTGTTTTCTTCCTCAGTGGGCCACTGTCCTGACCCGGTGCTGGTGAATGGTGAACCCAGCTCCCTGGATCCTGTGAGTGTGAGTGACAAAATCACTTTTAAGTGCAATGAGCACTATATCCTCAAGGGCAGCAGTTGGAGTCAGTGCCTGGCCAACCACACCTGGATGCCTCCCTTACCCGTCTGCAAAAGCAGTGAGTGCAAATCCAAAGATACCAATCAGATAACCTCATTTTCTCTTCCACATCTCTAGTATTGATGAGTGTTTATTCTATTTCTGTATTTTTTTCTATTACAAACAATGCTAAAATGAATGTTATCATATTTATAGATACACATACATATATTTTTATGTCTAGGCTATTATTTCTGTCGTCTAGATTCCTAGAATGATTGGTGGGTCACAGGATATTTATTTGCCAAATAAACTTAGAAGATCCAAGAAATTCTACCAAAAAAATGTTATTCTTGGACAAAAAGTAAATATTGAAAAATCAATAATATTACTTTCTTTTTTTAAAAATTTTTACTTCATTTTATTATGTTATGTTAGTCACCATACAGTACATCATTAGTTTTTGATGCGGTGATTCATGATTCATTGTTTTTGTGTAACACCCAGTGCTCCATGCAGTACGTGCCCTCTTTAATTCCCATTGCTGGACTTTCTAACAATAATTATGAGATGAATACTGAAATGTAAAATAATTTCATTCATGAGACTATATGAAAACTTAATGAAGGACATAAAATAAGACTTAAATAAAAGAAAAGATATGCCATGATCCTGGATGGATAGACTGGTATTACAATGTCATTCTAACCAGAATTTCAAATTTAAAAATATAAAACAAAAAATTAAGTTTATTTGGAAGGGTACATATCTAACATTACAGATTTATTTACTTAAAGACTTAATTTTTTAGAGCACTTCTAGTTTCATAATAAAACTGAGGGAAAGGTACAGAGATTTCCCATATACTCCCCACCCCCACACATTCATGTTATTGGCATCATTTCTCAGAATAGTACCTTTTTTTTTTAAACCAAGGATGAACCAATATTGATATATCATGATCACCCCAAATCCATAGTTACCTAAGGACTCAGTCTTGGTATTGTACATTCAGTGGGTTTGGACATAAGCATAATGACATATATCTACCACTATAATATCATATAGAGTATTTTTCCTGCCCTAAAAATCCTCTGTGCTCCATTTATTCATCTCTCTACTTCCCCTACCCCTATCAACCACTGACCTTTTTTGTTGTTGTTGTTATTATGTTCAACTAGCCAGCATATAGTACATCATTAGTTTTTGTTGTAGTGTTCAGCGATTCATTAGTTGCATATAACACCCAGTGCTCCTCACCACACGTGCTCTCCTTAATACCCATCACCCGGTTACCCCATCCCCCTCCCCCCCTCCCTTCTGTAACCCTCAGTTTGGTTCCTGGAGTCCAGAGTCTCTCATGGTTTGTCTCCCTCTCTGATTTCTTCCCATTCAGTTTTCTCTCCCTTCCCCTGTGGGCCTCTGCTCTATTCCTTATGTTCCACATATAAGTGAAACCGTATGATAATTGTCTTTCTCTGCTTGACTTATTTCAATTAGCATAATACCCTCCAGTTCCATCCATGTTGATGTAAACAGTAGGTATTCATCCTTTCTGATGGCTGAGTAATATTCCATTGTGTATATGAACCACATCTTCTTTATCCATTCGTCTGTTGAAGGGCATCTCAGCTCCTTCCACAGTTTGGCTATTGTGGACATTGCTGCTCTGAACATTGGGGTGCATGTGACCCTTCTTTTCACTACATCTGTATCTTTGGGGTAAATACCCAGTAGTGCAATTGTTGGGTAATAGGGTAGCTCTATTTTTAACATCCTGAGGAACCTCCATACTGTTCTCCAGAGCGGCTGCACCAGTTTGCATTCCCACCAACAGTGTAAGAGGGTTTCCCTTTCTCCACATCCTCGCCAACACTTGTTGTTTCCTGTCTTGTTAATTTTTGCCATTCTAACTGGTGGAAGGTGGTATCTCATAGTTTTGATTTGTATTTCCCTGATGGCTACTGATGTTGAACATTTTTTTGGGTCTGTTAGCCATTTGTATGTCTTCTTTGGAGAAGTGTCTGTTCATATCTTCTGACCTTTTTATTGTATCCATAGTTTTGCCTTTTCCAGGGTATCATATATTTGGAATCATATAGTATGTAGCCTTTTCAGATTTTTTTTTTTTTACTTAGTAATAGGCATTTAAGTTTCCTCCATTTCTTTTCATGGCTTGATAGCTCATTTTCTTTTATCAAATAATACCCTATTTCTGCATGTACCACAGTTTATTGATCTATTCACCTTTTTTTTATTATGTTCAATTAGCCAACATATAATACTTCATTAATTTTTGATATAGTGTTCAGCGATTCATTAGTTGTGTATAACACCCTGTGCTAATGACCACATGTGCCCTCCTTAATACCCGTCACCTGGTTAGTTCTGAAGGACATCTTGGTTGCTTCCAAAGTTTGGCAATTATGAATAAAGCTGCTATAGATATCAGGTGCAGATTTTTGTGGGGACATAAGTTTTCAACTCCTTCGGATAAATACCAAGGAGTGCAGTTGTTGGATCTTGTATATTTAGTTTTGTGGGAAACCATCAAACTCTCTTCCAGAGTGGTTATGTCATTTTGCATTCCCACCAGTGATGTATGAGAGATCTCGTTGCTCCACATCCTTGTCAGCATTTGGTGTCATCAGCATTCCGGATTTTGGCCATTCTCATAGTTGTGTAATGGTATCTCATTGTTCTTTTAATTTGCATTTCCTGATGACAGATGCTCATTTTCCATCTGTATATCTTCTTTGGTGAGGTGTCTGTTAAGGTCTTTGGCCCATTTTTTAATCAGATTGTTTTCTTATTGTTGAGTTTTAAGAGTTCTTTGTATATTTTGGGTAACAGTCTTTCATAGCAGAGAAGTTTTAAATTTTAATGAATTCCAGCTGATCAATTATTTCATGGATGGTGTCTTTACTGTTGTATCTAAAAAGGCTTCCTTCCCTATACCCAAGGTCATCTAGGTTTTCTCCTATATTATCTTCTAGGTGTTTCATAGTTTTGTATTTTACATTCAAGCCTATGATCCATTTTGAGTTAATTTTTGTGAAGGATATAGTAGATAGGCAGTTTAAAAGCACAAACTACAGTTAGCCTCTTTTAGGGAGTTTGTGGTTACTTAAAACATGCATATATACAACATGCAGTTAAATTACAAGCATATACCATCATCATTAGTTTGACACAAGTTTAAAGTATTTATTTCTTCCAGCCTTTTCTGTTTTACTCTCTTTTAATTCAATACTTCCTATCCTAGCTCTGAAATGCAGAATCTCTGTCTTTTTGTGTTAGTTCATTGCCCAATTTTAGGGGAAGCTCCTAAGGTCCCTGAGTAAAACAGATTTTTTTCTGCTTAGACCCAAGATCTATATCATCTCCTTCAGTTCAAAACTGTACCCTTAAAAGTCACCAGAAGAGCACTGTATAAACTGGAGTTCCTTAATGAATTAATTTAAATTCTTTTCCTTTCCTCTATACAGCTTTTGAACTCAGTTTTTGATCTTTTTTTAAAAAGTCAATTAATTAACATATATTATTGGTTTCAGAGGTACAGGTCTGTGATTCTTCAGTCTTATATAATATCCAGTGCTCATTACAACACATACTCTCTCCAATGTCCATCACCCAGTTACCCTCATCCTCCCACTCCCTCCCCTCCAGCAACCCTCAGTTTGTTTCCTATGATTAAAAGTCTCTTACGGTTTGTCTCCCTCTCTGGTTTCATCTTGTTTTATTTTTTCCTCTCTTGCCCTATGATCCTCTGTTTTGTTTCTTAAATTCCACATATCAGTGAGATCATATGATAATTGTCTTTCTCTGATTGACTTACTTCACTTAGCATAATACCCTAGAGTTCCATCCACGTCATTGCAAATGGCAAGATTTCATTTTTTTTTGGATGGCTGCGTAATATTCCATTGTGTGTGTGTGTGTGTGTGTGTGTGTGTGTGTGTGTGTGTATACGTATATATATATATATATATATATACATATATATATATATATACCACATCTTCTTTATCCATTCATCTGTCGATGGACATCTGGGCTCTTTAAAAGTTATTTATTAACTGCTCGAAGAAAACACCTGTGTCGTAGAAAAAATACAGAAAACAAAAGAAAACATTTAATTACCTACAAACCTACTACCCAGAAATAACAGAATACCTTGATATGTAATTTTCAGCCTTTTTTTCTGTTCATATATGTTTATGCATGAGTGTGTTTACAAAAATATTATTATATGCTACATTACATTTCTTCATTACATTTCTATTTGTATGCATTATTATAATACATAGTATTATCTACTATGTACTATAGTAATACATGTTCTTTTATGCTTTGCTGTTTTTGCTCAACTTTTTGTTTTGAATAGTTGAATACAACTATTTGTATTTATGTTTCCGTAAGTATACACCCACATAATCATTCTTAATTTACACTTTAATCTTGATCACCAAGGTTAGGCTTATAATGTCAGAGCTCAAAGGGACTTTAGAGATAATATTATTTAAACTGCTCATCTTATAGCTTCGGAGGGAAATCAAGAAGGATGAAATAGTGGTTAGTGGAAGAGCCAGAACTGAAATTCACAACATCTAATACTTTGTCCACCTCTTTATAGATTCCTCTTGTTTGCTCCCCTCTGCATTCTCCTTGTTTCTGAAGCTCTCATATCGCAAAATTCTATCCCACAGAGAATGTCAGCCTCCATTTGAACTCACATCACTTATTTCCTGTCTCAGGGAGTTATTTCTCCCACCTCTACCTCTGGTTTAATTTTTTTTTTCTTGTCCACTGTCAGTCTCTACAACTTAAACTTCCTTTCGTCAAGCTCATGTCAATCAGATAGCACTCTCAAATTGCTAATGACTCAGAGGATAAGCAGGGGGAGGGGGTCTTTCCCATGGTTAAATACCATTTGACCAGAAGGAAATGAATGGAGAATGTGCCCCCAGATCCCACATGTACGGTTACATTTAAGGGGTGCTGTTAATTGAGTACAACTCATGACTGTCACTCTTGTACTCCTGTTTCTCAGGAGACTGTGGCCCTCCTGGGAATCCCGCTCATGGCTATTTTGAAGGAAAAGATTTCAACTCAGGTTCTACCATTACTTACCACTGTGAAGACAGGTAAGTGCATGCAGGCTTTCAAATGCAAGATCTTGCCAATTGACTGGTAGCATTGCTTTGGGGAATGACCCAGTCCATCTCACCTAACACCTAGATTTCCTACTGTCTCAGGAATCTGAGCTCATTCTGATTTTGAGAGTTGCTTTAGCCCACTGCCGGCTCTCCCTAATCTCTAGAAGATAGACTGATCTTTTTATTTATCCTAGAGAAGATATTTAAAATGTATATTTTTCTAAAGAATCTCAGAACAAAAACTCAGAGAAATATAGAACATATGGAACTGCAGAAAGAGTGATTTATTGATCGTTCCAGCCTGCCCACGCCCCCCCCCAATCTGGTTTCCTATTTGCAGTTACTTGAAATATATATATATATATATATATATATATACTTTAAAAAAAAAAAGAAAGAAAAAGAAAGAGAATGACTTATAGAACCTTAATAACCTTAACTTAGACTACCTGATCACCCACCTTACAGATCTACTCTTTCCTTGGCTTCAGTCTTATTAACTCAGGGTCAGGTCTCCACATTAACATTTCAATGTCATAATATACTTCTAGTGGACTTTGCCATCAGCTCTTATGTTTTTCTGATTAAAAGCTGTAGCTCCTTCATAAGACTTATCTGAGTGTTATCCCTAGCTTTCCACTCCTTTTTAGAGGGTTGATGGCAGATGCTTTTTTAAGTTATTGAATGATGACATGCTTCCTCCCTCACCCTCCCCACCCAACAACTGTGTAAACACACATATTCAGAATTTCTCACTTCTCCATATGGGTTGAATTGTCACTTGGGTCCTCTCTGCCCCCAAAGAGAGTGGTTTTAGTTGATTACTGTTTGGTAATACTGAAATCACTTAAGCATGCATTAAGGCTCAGGGAGGTGGATTCTATCACGGTAGGAAATACTGAAATACAGCTATATAAAACCAGGCTTAGTTGCCCAGTTTAGAACGTGGGAAGTCTAAGTGTTGTTGCCATTCTGATTTCTGTTCAGGTACCACTTGGTGGGCACACGGGACCAGCAGTGCATTGACGGGGAGTGGAGCAGTGCACTTCCAGTCTGCGAGTTGATCCAAGAAGCTCCCAAACCAACTCCACAGACGGAGTTTGAGAAGGCACTCGTAAGTAGTAGGCGTTTGTCTTGTTCACAGTTGTATCTCCAGGGCCTGGCATCATTGCTGGCGCATGCTCAGTAAATATCTGTTCAGTGGGGGATGTTTTTGAAGGGTTGGTTAGACAAGGGCTCATAAACTATTAACTCACATTTTTATATATGGAAGTTCTCATTCGCCACCATCATCACAAACACTTCATGAGACCTGTTGGTAGGAGTTATTGTCTCATGGACTTTACAGAGCAAGCTTTATAAACTCATGTCTTAGACTTGTATGCATTGATGTGAAAAATCTCTAAAATTCTTCTAGATTCCAAAAACCACTGAACAAATCATTTTCATTGAGATCCCTCTTTTAGTTTATATTTATTGCTGGGATAATAATAAGTATCTAAAAGCCAGAAGATTTAGATGATTTATCATGTTGAAGACCCAGATTTGTATTTAAGCTACTGGATTCTGAGCCCCTAGTCAGGGACCTAAGCACTACTGATTAGCTTCAGACTATACAGCTGGATCTCAGTTCTTAAGTTGTAGCTTAAAATTTTTTTTCCTTTTCTTCAGTTTGCCTTTCAGGAGAATAAAGAACTTTGCAAAGCCATAGAGAACTTTGTGCAAAGACTAAAGGAAAATGGTTTAACTATGGAGGAACTGAAATATTCTCTGGAAATAAAGAAAGTTGAATTGGAGGCAAAAATGTTGTCCTGACATTGTAGCTGAGCAGACTGGGTAATAGAAATGCACCTATGAATAAATCTTCTCTTGGTTCTAAAACTGGTTTCAGATTTTTCTCTCATTAGACTGGAACACGACTTCATAGAAATCAGCTGCAGTTGCATAAAACACCGTGTGTGTGTTCTCAGAATGTGGGAAGACCAAGTGTGGTGGTTGTCTGTTTAAGACCAGAGTTAGCAGCACAACAGTGGGGAGTGAAGGGTCTAATTTCCTGTCTGTAAGGAGAATGGGAAGCTCAGATCACAGCTAAGGGTATGTCTTATATTTTAATGAAACACGAATGGTGAGGCAAAAAATAACCTCAAATCAACCAAAACCTATGAAGCAAAAATCAACCTCTCAGTTTGAGAAAATAGGTTCAGAACAGTTATATCCTTGAAATAACCTGTTGAGACAAAAGTAGAATTAGGACTTAAACTCTGAGTCTCCCCTATATCCTGTTTATGAAACCAAGTTTCTAAATCTTCCGCAGTAATATTGCTTACCACCTTTGGATGAAACCCAGCCCTGCCTGGTAAATTTGAGATGGTGAAATATAAGTGAATATGTTCTTTTCCTCTTTTTAGAGGGCAGGAGAAGCAAGAATCCTGAGGTAGAAATAGGTTTTCCTATCAAGATGTCATATTGAGACGATATGACAAACTTCTTCCATCTCTCACTCTGACCTCCACCAAAACACATAGGAAATCTGGATAAATACAAACAAAATACAGAAGAGAGCTTGAAATAATGGAATGTCCCTCAATGAAATCATGAAGGAGAATAAGAAATAGGAATAAGAAACTCTCAAGTACCCCACAGTCTATTAATAGACACATGACAAGTATACACATACCATTAATTCAGGGTGGTTAGAATGAAATAAACACTTTTCACAGAACAATGTGCTAGGGGAGCTCAGCTTTGAGAAGGGGGCCTTCTGTCTGGGAGGAGGAGGCAGTAAAATTGTAAAGGAGAGTCACAGTTATCGGGCCTTTAAAAGTGAGTAGGACTGAGAGACAAAGATTAGGGAAGAGGACATGGCAAGTGGGAAGATTTGGAGAAGTGTAGTAAGAGCATCATAAAGAGCCATAAGCTTTTGAACCAAGTAAATCCACTCCTCAGGTTCGTCTGACTTGAGCAAAATGATTTTTAATTTGAAGCTATTCATTCTATTATTGCGTATATTGTCTATACTGGGGAGACCTTGTGAACATTTGAAATGTCCAATCTCAGGAATATTTTTAGTAAATTATGGCACATCAAATGTAATGCAACCTCTTACAGTGATAATTATGAACAGAAAATCTTAAAAATATAATCCCAAGTAAAAGTAGAATACAGATTAATAAGAACTTATGATTGCATTTCTATAAAACCTTTCTTCTTGTAGAGGAGGACCAGGCAAAAACAGGCACAGATGAAAACAGTTGTCTTAGGATGGTGAAACTCCAGGTGTTTATTCTCTTAAAAGTTCTTTAATTTTTTTAAAAGATTTTACTTATTTATTTGAGAGAGTGAGTGAGTGAAAAAGAGAGAGCAGAGGCAGAGGGAGAAGCAGACTCCCCTGCTAAGCAGGGAGCCCAACGCGGGGCTCGATCCCAGGACCCTGGGATCATGAGCTGAGCCAAAGGCAGATGCTTAACCAACTCAGCCACCCAGGTGTCCCAAGTCTTTTAATGTTTTAAATTGAGTTTTTAATAATAAGTTTTTAAAAACGTGTTGTGCAGAGAGGCAGGAAAGATGGAGCATGTTTAGGGAATGGCGCACGGCCTGGATTTGCCTGGGTAAAGCATGGGAAGTGATGAGAAAGAAGGCTGGACAGATACCTTAAAGCCAGTTGACGGAAGCTTTTAAAGGGCAGAGAATTTAAACTTTATTTGGTACGCAGTGAGAGGAAATCAAAGACTTACAAGAAAAGAAGTGGTAAGGATCGAACACAGATTTTGCTCACAACATTACGTAGTATGGGTAGGAAAGAATAGAGAGAAAGAAACCATCTTAAGCACTACTGCGGTATGCAGGAGGCAATGATGACCTGAACTGGATGATGGCAGCACAAACAGAGAAAGAATATCAGACACGCGAGACACTGGAGAATAAATAAAAACAACTTATCAACTCACTGAACATTGGAGGATGAGGGAGAGGAAGGGTTTAAAGGTGAATTTGAAATTGCATTCCTGGAAGCCTGATTATTGTTGGGGTCAGAAAGTGAAGCTTCCGGGCAGGAAATGAGAAGTTCCCCTTTGGATGTGCTGCATGTAAGGTGATTGTAAGATGTCTGATGGGCAACAAAAAATGTTAAGACTGCAGTTAGGAGAGGAATCAGAGATAAAGAGCTAGTTATGGGGTGGTCCTCTTATAAGGAATAGTTAAAGCCATGACAGCAGGTACAATAATTTTAAAGATAATGAAGAGAAAAATTTTTGAAAAGAAGAACCTGAGACATATCTAACACGTAGGGATGAGAAAGAACAAGAAGAGATAAGAACGACTAAGAGCGTTTCGTGAAAGAGGGGAATCAGAAAAGTTCAGGGTAATGGAAGCCAAAGGAGAGGAGTTTCAGAAAGGAGATAAACAGTGTTAAGGGCTACTGAGAATGAAATATTGGACTTGGAGATAAGGACGTGCCTGAAAGAGGTTTGTCCCTAAGGGAGGGAAGAAGCCAGATCTTAAGGCCATGATGATGGAAGGGGTTGGGAGGGATTAATGAGAAAGAATAAACAGGAAATGCAGGAAACCTAAGAAGTTAAACATCTCATGACAGAACAAAAATGGAATTTGAAGTTTTGGCAAGATTTAGGGAATATTTCAGGATGATTTAGGGAATATTTCAGATGCACTGAAAATAAGAAAACAAAGATGGGCAACATCTTGCTTCTTCTGAAGCAAGAGTGTGACTGGAAGAGGGGTGCCTGGGTGGTTCAGTCAGTTAAAGGTCTGCCTTGGGCTCAGGTCATGAATCCAGGGTCCTGCTCAGCAGGGAGTCTGCTTCTCCCTCTCCTGCTGCCCCTCCCCCACTCATGCTCGCTCTCTCGAAAATAAATAAATAAAATCTTTTTTTAAAAAAAGAGTGACTAGGAAAGAAGAATGAACAGAAGCTACCAGAGAATGATTGTTTAGCAGAGGAGGAGGCAAGACCACTTGCTGAGAGGAAGCCCATTCCATGGCCTGGAGAGAAAAATTTGGAATAGTCACTGTGGAAAGTAAAGAAAAGCACTCCAACAGATTGGGAAATAGTATTTTGAAGACTCAGTTTGGCTCTCAAGACGTGGCACAATCTGGAATCCTTCTCTACAATCATTCCTGTCAAGTTGGGAAATCAGTCTCTCCTTGTAATTTGGCCCATGTTATCTTTACCTGTGATAGTCTTCTCATTTTCATCTAATCATTTTTCCACTTTTCATTCAAAGCCCAGCTCAAATCCCGTATCTCTGTCAGAGCTTCAAAGCTTCTGTTGTGCTTCAACTCTACTCTTTTCTGAGACCTTTATGAGACTTTTGGTGTTTATAACAGAAAAAGTGAGGTTTTCAGGAAAAACTGCACTTTAATAGCAATCTCCTAGCTCACAAACCTTGATCCTGAGGATTAAGACCTTAATTAGATAATGTCAGGGCTTGGGGTCCTTCCTAGATCTGTGTGATCACAGACATGCCAGCCCTTTGTTGCATTTCTCGGAGCAGTGCTCAATGATAGACCAACTTCTGAAAGTCATTTGGCGTCCAGCATGTACTAGTCGTGGTGGTGGTGGTAGTTAGTTAACATGTCCCAGGCAACAGGGCCCAGCAGGAATTCGGTAAATTTGTTAAACTCCCCACCATTGTACTTTCTTGGGGTGGAATGAAGACCAGCACAGGGCAAAGTCATCAGTCAATGAGCCCCAGGAAGGCCTGCTGGACCTAGCATCAAGGAAAGTGGATCAAGGTGGACCTAGTCTCAACCCTACAGTGTCCAAGTTTTCTAGGTTAGCTGGATTGCATCTTATGTGTCTGTCTTGTATTTAGGAAAAAAGAAAAATCAAATCTGGCATCAAATTCATATTACCTTTCCACTTAGGGGAAATGGTTGGCAGAGGAGAGAACAAACGATTGCAACATGTTATCAAGAAGGAGGTTCGTGCCCAGGAAGGAGATTAAGTAAATACCAGTGCTTTATTTCCATTGTTAATCATTCACTGAGCCAGTAGAAAGTTTCTGCCCATCCATTAGAATTTAGCCATCCTTGACCAGTCAACCACCTGGCTGGAATTCAGGGACTTCTCGGTGGTGCAATTACTAGCTAGCTTCAGGGTACTCTGGTAAACTCTGATCTGGGGAGGAACTAAAACTATTAGAGATCCAGGCAGTTTTTTTTCCCTTGAGAAACGACCCAAGGCACCACGATAGAGTCTTCTACTTCTTCCTCAGCTACCTGCAGGTCAGTGGATTGTTTGGGGTACCTTGGGGAAAAGGCTGCTGGTTTGGCCCTTTAAGGAGGGCAAGAGAGACAAAAACTTGGGGTACTTTCAGTAGAAATCTTTTCAGGAGTCCTGCATTAGGGGGTTGTATGACCTGAAAAGTACTTCTAATCCCTCTGAGCCTCAATTTTTTATTATAAATGGGGGCATGAATAAACTGAAGCAGAAAGGAAGTAAAAGGTTATTCTTGTTATTGTATCTAAAAGTTGAGTGGGTTGGTTCATTGATTCTTTTTTTTTTTAAAGATTTTATTTATTTATTCATGAGAGGCGGGGGGGGGGGGGGGAGAGAGAGAGAGAAGCAGAGGGAGAAGCAGGCTCCCAAGGAGCAGGGAGCCCGATGTGGGACTCGATCCCATGACCCCGGGACCATGACCTGAGCCGAAGGCAGACGCTTAACCATCTGAGCCACCCAGGCGCCTGGTTCATTGATTCTTTACCATCACTCCACACAGGGGAGTTGAGGCAGGAGGTAAACCGGACTTTCCAAAGGGGTTCACAGAAGACCTGGTTTAGAATGTAGACCTAGTCTACATTCTAAAAATTGATGCAGTTCCCTTTGGAGATTTTATTAACCCCTCCACATCTTCTCCACCATCCACGG